AAATTAAATGACAAATTATTAAATAAACTAACCAACTCAAATTAAAACTATAGATAAGATTATGTGATTTGACAGTTAGAATTTTCGATTTCACTTAGGTTATTTATCATACATTTAATTCCAATTTATTCAACAATTTTTCATACATGCCAGCAATCAAATTAACCTGATGTAGTTAGTGATCTCTCTCGAGCAACACTAATCATATTCATATGTCCGAGCTTACTATATATCTATGTAAATTCACACACATATGAACGCATTTATCTATAAAAATTCAACAAAGATCACGTAGCTTATAATTATCTCTCGATCTCTTATAATGTTTATATTAATTATTGAACGAGTTAGAATTATACACCACTTCTCGGTCTCAGTATTATCTCGAAATTAATTAATTGTTGCGCAGACAATTAAAGCTAAACACACAATAATTAATTAACAAGTATTAAAATGGAATGAAATATGGAAAGAAATCACCAAAGATTGATGGAACGTGAAAATTTCTAACTAAAATTAAAGTTGTTTTTTTCTGCCCTTCCATTCTCTTCCAGAATAGCTGCCAGTGTGAATACATCTATTTCAAATTCCTGCCCCTGTTTTTGTCCCAGAAACAAGCCAAATTTGCTGAATTTTCTTTTCCTCTTTCTTTTCTTTTTCTTAATCTTTTTGTTTCTCCTGTGGCTGCCTCAACTTTTTTTTTCTTCTTTCTTTTCTATTCTTTTTTTCACTTTTTTTTTGTTCTCTAGCAGCCCGCCTTTCCTCTGCTGCGTGTATGTGGTATATATATTCCCTCATTCCCAGTAGCCAATGTCTAATCCAATTTGATGCCCAATAAAATTCCAATACCTAATTAAATTCATTCTTATTTTCATGCCCAAAAAATTTCATGTAATGCAAGTTAATCCTTAAAATAAATTTATTTGTGTATCCCATGCCAATTTAGTCCTCGTACTTTGAATTTTGTCATTTTTTCGATATTTTGCATTCTCTTCTTCAATTCTTCACTAAACACAAAGTTTCACCTACAAAATATAATTTAACATAAATTAGATAGAATTTTATTCAAAAGACAATAAAATATCACTATTTAACATCTCGAATAAGCGTAAAAACTACACTTATCACTACTCTTGCTTATTCTCAACTAACAAGAGACAGAGAGAGGAGATAAATAAGACATTCCACCAGATTCAATAATGATGAATTTGTTAACTTATTTACCGCTCTTGACTCTGTGAATTCAAAACCTGTTTCTTTAGATAAAGATATTATCTGTACTGATTCTAATTTCT